GCCCTCGGGGACGCGGGGTGCCGGGGGGCTCTCGGGTTCCAGCCTCCGCCCCCCACACTGCTATCCCCCCAACTCTTGGCAGGCGGCAAGAAATTGTTTCAGAAGTCGGGTGGCGGGGCTGAATTTAGAGAGGGGAGGAGGGAATATACGCAAGGAGATGATGGATAACGTTAACTTTTGACTGTAGGAGTCATGATGGAGTTGAGCGAAGCTGCGAGGAAATATGTCATTTAATCCCAGGGCTACTGAAGTCCCTTTTATCAAACGTCGTGATGCTGGAATTATACTGCTGTAAAAGCGACTGAGTACTTAAAAGTATCCAACATCAGGCAAATATATAGATTGGAGGAATGGGTGTAAAATACTAATCACACGACCGTGAAAACCCCAAGAGGATTAGATAAATATAAATAGATGTGCATTAAAAAAAAAAAAAAAAAAAAAACGATAAAACTCTAGCTGCTGTATTCACACAAGGAGAACAGACAGCGTGTGCATGTTTGTGTGCAATGCCAAAAAGAGCAGCCTTAAGGTTGACCTACTGCAATCTGCACTGAGCTCCTCAGACAATAGACAAGTTCAAATGTCAAAAAATCTAATAATAATAACCAGAGCTGCCAAACTGCACGAACTGTTTTCTGGTGTAACACAATCATTCACCCTCTTATCCACTAAAAGACTTCCAGTTCTTATGCGTGTAAAAGAAAATCTATGTAATGCATATGGATCTTTTTTTTTGTTTGTTTGTTTATCACATGTGAAACGCCATTGAGATGGCAAGCACGCAAATCGGAATGATATCATGTCTAATAAAAGCAGGGCTAAGGTTTTCACAGTCTCTTTTAAAAGACTCCAACTTGTAAATCCCCTTTTAATGTCACTACATGCACAATTATTCTTATTAATAAAAATCTACATGTTCAAGGGTCTGGATTGAAACTATGTATCCCTCTGATTTTAACATCGGTGGGAGCATTAGTTTTCTATCATATGTAATGTGTCTACGTTGAGCTCAAGTCAACAGATAGATTGTTCCATTCATTTGGCAACTCTCATTACAGTCCGTGTGAGGTGAACACTGAGCAAGACACGTTGGATAATATCAAAATTATGCAGCTGGGAAATAAAGGAATCTTGCTTTGCATGTACAGTTCTGTATTATTGTTCTAATTTATTACAGAAGCCGAAATGCTTTGTTATACTCAAAACAATAAATAAGGTTCTGAGAACCTTATTAGAATAAAAGGTATGGATAAATTATCTGCCTGCCTATTGTGTTTATCGTTATTATCGTCAGCCTTTAAAAGTAATCTGTGTATTTTCCTATTTTCTCCAGATTGGTTAGTGTAATATCCCTAGTGCAGCTATCAACGTGGTCATAAGAACTATGAACTACAGCATGGGTAAGCTTGAAAAACCCAGAGCAGATCGCATTAGCCAAGAACGCTACATATCTGGAAGCCAGTCAACTTCACGTTTGCAGCTGACTGCTGTATTATGCACGAATGTGTTTTACATATAGCAGACTGTATACGGAATATGTCTTTATGTTTAACATTTTAATTTGTAAATGCTAATTAGGCAGTTGGTCTCCACGGTTATATTAGTACATACCTAATCATTTCCCACTATAAGTAAATGAATACTAAATACGGTAAACACTTTCTTTTCACTATTTCCACGACAGTATCTCTTCTACATCCATTTTCCAAATGCGTCCGTTCGGACAAAATAGGCATTTATTTTTAAAAAGGGGAGAAAAAAATGCACTCTGTAGCACTCTTCCAATTGGGGTGCCAGGGCAGGCATGGAGCCGGCAATCCTGGCTGGACTGGACTCTTCCAAAGGCAGCCAGAAAAGTTTAGTTCTGCCGAATTAACTTGTTGCTCGTTTTAGCGTTAGTTTTTCTCTTCCCTTGCGGTACCTAGTCGCCTGCTGCTGCTAACTGGTGCAGCCACACAGCAGAGAAGCTGCCCTTCTAAATCCTGTTTTGTTTAAAATATAACGCAGGTTACGCTTGGAGGATTGGGGGAAGGGGGGGCAAAGGAAAGCTGGGGGAAATCCGCTCAATCCCGACCCCGGGATGATGAACTTTACTGGGGTCTTTCAATTCCAAAACCCGCCAGCTTCACAGGCGAGGGAAATGTTCACTAAACTGCAAATCTCAAGCAAGCGACCACGTTTCTGAGGAGAAACGCGCTCTGGAAATGTGTTTTACTAGTCTGGAATATTGCTAGTGCTCATTGCGCCAAATGCGGAAGGTGGAAAGTTTTGTTCATGTAAATATCTCAACCATTTTACCTCACGGTCAATACACACGGAAACTTGACTCCGTTTTCCAAATGAACACCCACGAACACTTTAAATGAAAAGTGTAATTTCTTGTAGGTCGTTTTCTGTCTTTGATTACTTTTTTTTTTTTCTCTCTCTCTCCCTTTTTTTCTTTTTTTTTTTTTTTTTTTTTTTTTTTTTTTTTTTTTTTTTTTTTTGGCTATGTATGTGTTAGGCTTTTAGGCGGGGAGTTCATCTTGCCAGGTTCTATCATATTTATGGGCTGTGCGATTTCCAGGGCTCCAATTGGTCTTTCCTTTATGGAGGCAAGAAATAAAACTTTCCTTGTAGCACGGAAACTGCTGGGGCTCCACCACGGGGAAACAAAGTGGCTTCAAGCTCCCGCCCCCGTGGCTACCGCTGCCACCCGTCCCGGTGGTGCAGGTGCGCTGCAGGATGCTGCGACCACGCGGGTCCGCCCGTGCCCAGTGTCCTGCCAGCAGACAGGAGCGCAGGGGTGAGAAGCTGCCGCATTTGGGCAGGAATTCTACCCCAAAAAACACCCCAAAACAACCCTAAACG